CCCCAAAACCCCAAAACCCCAAAACCCCAAAACCCCATTTAATTACATATTCGTTGATTTAAATAATTCGAATTAAGAAATGGACTCCAAAGCCCAAAAGAAACCTGAGAGCTATAAGAAAATCAAAGAGATCGGGAAAGGTGCCTGTGGTAAGGCCTACCTTGTCCAAGCTGAGACCAGCAAAGAATATGCTGTAATCAAGCAGATAGACGTCAATCAGTACAGATCCAAGAGCGAGAGAGAGAAAGTTTATCTGGTAAAGTTAACTGTCATTCCAGATTTAATAAATGAAGGTTCTTAGTATATTATAATCCTAGAAAACAACTTACGGTCCTAAATCGTAGTTATTACAGTTAGTATCATAACCCTAGCTAACTTGGCATTGTCCGTTAGTAATTCACAACTTAGAGACGGCAGTTAAATTGAATTTGTTTATTTTCAAGGTGAATTCTTTCGTAAAATTAGGCACTCACATTTGTTTTCTAGGAGGCAAAAGTCATGGAAGGACTCAAACACAAATACATCGTTGGCTTCAAAGAAGTCTATAAGACCAAAAGCAACAAGGTCTGTATCGTAATGGAGTATGCAGATGGTGGAGATCTTGCTAGCAAGATTAGAAAATATGCAAACGCAAGAAAGCATATGAGTGAAGAGACTGTGCTTGATATGTTCACTCAGATCTGTCTTGCCCTCAAACACATCCATGATCGTAAAATCATTCATAGAGATATCAAAGCTCAGAATATCTTCTTGAATAAAAACGGTGATATCAAGTTTGGAGACTTTGGTGTCTGCAGAGTTCTTGATGCTACATTTGAAAAAGCTAAAACTGGAGTTGGAACTCCATACTACATTGCTCCTGAAATCCTCAACGATAGACCATCTTACACAAACAAGGCTGATATTTGGTCTCTAGGAATCCTTCTTTTCGAGCTTTGTAAGCTCGATGTTCCAATCAAGGCTGCTGGGCTTCCTGACTTGTACAGAAAAATTAAAAATTTCCGTACAGTTCCTTCTCTTCCAAGACAGTACAGTAAGGACATGAGCGACCTTATCAAATCTATGCTGATTACTACCCCTTCCAAGAGACCCTCAGTTGTAGACCTGTTAGCTCATCCATGTCTGAGCAGCAGAGTGTCTAAATTCCTTTCCCAAGAAGAGCAGAATGAAGAATTTAGCCACACTGTTATCCATAACTTTGACATCCTCAACAAAAAGAAGAAAGGAAAAGCTCCTTTAGGCCGCCCAATCTCCGCTAGAAATGCTAAACCTCCTATGGTAGAGGAAGCCAAAGGGACTCCTAAATCTTCAAACAGCAAGATGAGTTCTGGAGCTTCCAAAAAGACACCAGGAGGATTCACTCCAAGGAAGATTTCTGACAAATTTAGCAGACCTGGGTCTGCCAACAAATTTGCTAGACAAAACTCAGCTGGATCCCTTGGTGTAGGGTCTAGACAATCATCAGCGAAAAAGGCTCTAGGAGTGAAGGATTTCAACAAACCAGCCCAGACTCCTAAGCTAGGACTGGGTGCAAGGAAGTTTAGTGCAGGGGCTCTTCACGCTAGGAAGAACTCTCACGGATTTGCAGGAAGAAATTCCCCTTCAAAGCAACAAAAGTATAGCTTTGGAGACAAGTATGGAAAGCCATCTCCTTCTCAGACCCCCAAAGCTGGTGGAGGTGCCAAGAAGTTAGGTGCGAAGGCGCCTATTGGCTTCCAAAGACCATCAAGTGCAAGAGCAGCTGGAGCTCAGAAGGCAAACGGATTCGGCGGAGGCTACGCAGGAGGAGTGAACAACAGAAGATTGTTTTAAATAAAAATTAATTACACAAATTCTGCCATAAATTCTTCATATGGGGTTTTGGGGTTTTGGGGTTTTGGGGTTTTGGGGTTTTGGGGTTTTGGGGTTTTGGGG